CTACAGAAAGGATGGGGACACATTGAGAATTGGCAATGAAAATAGCTAGGGGGCTGGGGGACAGGACTGGTGAGGAGAGGCTGAGGGAAATGGGCTGATTGAGTCTGCAGAAGAGAAGACCGAGGGAGATTGAATAGCAGCCTTCACCTCCCTGCAGGGGGGCTGCAAAGAGGATGGAGCTGGGCTGTTCTCAGTGGGGGCAGATGACAGGACAAGGAGCAATGGGCTCAAGCTGCAGCAAGGGAAGCTGAGGTTGGATATTAGGAAACACTTTCTCACAAGGAGGGTGGTGAGGAACTGGAAAAAGGTCACCTAGAGAGGTGGTGTAGTCTCCATCCTTGGAGGTGTTTAAGACCCAGCTAGACAAAGCCTTGGCTGGGATGATGTAGTTGGGGCTGGTCCTGCTTGGAGCAGGGGTTGGACTAGATGTGACCTCCTGAGGTCCCTTCCACCCTCATTTTCTATGATTTCCTTATGTTCTCAAGTGGACTCGTATACCCAACTATGCTCCTATTCTACCACACTTGATCCCCTGGACACCATTCACATGTCTGCTTTTGCACTATTGCACCACCTTGGCCATATAAATCGAGTGAGGACCAAGAGGGAAGAATGAGGTTTGCTATGTGCTGAAAATGAGAGGCCTGATTTTTAGTTTAGGTGCTCCAGGGCAATCCTATTCCACCTTGCCAAAGTCCCTGAAAAACCCTCGGTGCACCCGGTTATGTAACACGCCATCATCTTAGCCTCAAGGCTATGTCACAAAAAGCAGCGAGGAGGAAGGAAACCCACCCACCTTTCATGTTACCAGTGTCTCTGGGACTTGAGCAGCCTGAAACGGGATTAGCGAGAGAGGATGTGGCTGTGGGTGAAGATTGAAGGCAACCTCAGCCTGGCCCAAGAACTGAATGAATACTTTGCCTCAGTCTTCAATAAAGATTAAGATCTAGCTCAAGGGATCACATGGCCATGAAGATAAGAGTATAGAAACACCACAACTGGGTAGTTGAGGAGTCTGGATAATGTCCATCTTATAATATAATGTTGAAGGACCTGGTATATGATATAGCAGCTCCTGAAGCACAGATCATCAGCTGAAGGATGCTCTCTGATTGGAAAATAGCAAAAGAAATGCCTGGTTTTAAAGAGTGAGTTGGGGAATTACAAGCCTGTTCATTTGACCCCAGTAGCACGTAGAATAGATACTGGAGGAAAGACTAGTTAAATACCTGGTGGTAAATGGAAAATGGGACATAGCAGAACTTGGGTTTCCCTCCGGGCAATCTCATCAGCCTCATTTGACATTATTTTATGACAAGATAACCAACTGCTTGAATCAGGTTAATGCAGTGGACTCTCTTCATGTAGATTTGGGCAAAACTTTTGACACCGATCCTCATAGGAAATCACTGGCCAAACTGGGGGTTATTGCTATGGTTGGAAGGTGGATACGGAGCTGGCTTGAAGGTGGACAGCGATGTTGAACGGTGATACCGGCCGCAGAGTTATTACCGGTAGCTTTTGTCAGGGATCAGTCTTGGGACCTGTTGTTGGAGGGGTTCAAGAAGAGGTTGATCAGACACTAATCAGGGGATGATCTAGGTATAGCGATACCCATGCTCTGCTGTGGGGATGTCCCAGGCTTTTGGGCTATGCTGGTTGCCTCCTTCCCCTCTTTCTGCTCCATGTGTCAGGGGGTTTTAAGCCTCCCCCAGAGGAGCTGGGGATTGGGATGGGTTGTGCCAATGCTCCTGCTGGGACCAACCCCACAGGGTCCCGGCTGGAGGGTCTTGCCCCTCTGCTCAGGTCAGACTGATGCTGCATTTGGGGTCAGGAAAGGATTTTCCCCTCTGCTCAGAGTGATACAGACTGGGGGTTGCCTTCCTCGGTAAAAGGGGCACGGCCTATACCTGGGATCTCTTGAGCATATATTACCCACCTTTTACAGAAGCAAGACATTGGCTGCCAAGGTCCCTTTGCATTACCTATGGAAGGGTTGGGTGTGATGCCTTGGCTTGCGTCAGGGTTGACTGTAGCTTTACTAAGAGGTTAGATTATGGATTTGTAAAGGAAGGTTTGGATGAGGCTGATCCCCAGGCAGGGGTTGGACTAGATGACCTATGGAGGTCCCTTCTAGACCTACTTCTCTATGACTTTTATGATTTCTGTGAAGGAGAATGGCACACATGGAAGAGAAGCAGATAATTATACAGGAAGATTCAGATCATCTCATGGAAATAGAGCACTAGAAATGGCATAAACGTTGACAGTATGAAGTGCAAAGGCATGCAGTCATGGACTAATAAGGAGGGCTTCAGCTCTAAGGTGCATGCACATAGATGGGAGATGTCTGAGGACAAGAGGGACCTGGGCCTACTGGTGAACTGTAGGATGAACCATGAGGGCAACGTAGCTGCGAAAGAAAGGATGTTAAGATGTCACGCTTCTAAGTTGTAAGGTCACTTATTTGTGTGTGGTCTGTCTGTCTGTCTGGAAATATTGGGTTGTTCTTTGCCAGGAATATTCATAGTTGGAGAACTGTGTTTATTTGCTTTTGCATTCACCTCATTGGAGGACTCCTTTGCTGAGAACAGGGCTAACAAAAGGTAACCCTCCGACCCCTAAATTTCCGTCAGGGGTTGACAGTGTTGACTAGCGTGGAGCTGGGAATAACTACATGGGCACCTTATGGATTACCATCTTCTCCAGCACTTGCAAGAAGACTGCACACCGGTGCCTGGACACCTGGAGAGGACCTCCCCCTCGTGCTAGCCGTGCTCTTCCTTGCACACCCAATGTATTGCAGAGGGGGAAAGGGAGGGAAAAAAGCTCTGCCCTGCTCTCAGTGTGGGTGCTTCAGCTCTTCCAAGCCAACTTAAATGGATCTGGGCAACAGAGGGCTGATTGTTCCTGGATCCCTGTCATTTTCCCCGTTATTTTCTTAAGTAATTAACTGTGTTTTTTGGAGAAAGTGGCAGTTACAGGTTACAGCCGGGGAGGGCGGTTACCTCTTTATTCACTCCACCTGTCACTCACTCCATCATCTTGATCTGTGCCAAGCAGCTGTCAGTGGCGGGGAGACAGGGCAGGACACGTCTGTTGGAGCCGCCCTTTTCAAAGCATTAGCTGCCGGTGTGGAACACACGGGATATCCTGGGCACGTCTACATGTGCATTTACTGCGCGTTAAATTTACTGCACAGTAAGCCGTTTTTAGGCTGGCATCTACACATGCAGGCGTTAAAGCACAGTAACATTGTGTGTGGACTGACTTGGGACTAAAGTTAGTCCCAAGTCAGTCCACACACAGAGTGTTACTGCGCAGGAAAGCGTCTACATGCACGTTACTTCGCAGTAACTAACCAGGCATAAATTTGATACCTGCATCATGCAGGTATCAAATTTACACCCAAGTCAGTGTAAGTCACCATATTCACTGTGCAGCACGGGTGTGCAAATGTAGATGAGTGCCTGTACTGCATAGTAATTTTTGGTTACTGTGCAGTAAATGTGCACATGTAGACACCCCCCTCACCCCCAATCTAGCAGTATTTGGAGTTTGCTCAAGATATACGGTCTGCAGGTGCGAGCAGCTAGCAAAGCCTAGGTTTATGGCATGGTCTTGGGTCTGTGCAGGGGAAGGCAGTCTAGTGGTTAACGCTGGGGAGCAGGCTATTGGCCTAGATGGGTCACTGGTCTGATACAGCAAGGCTAGTCCTATGTAGATGGCCCCTCTATGCTCTTCTCAGCTCCACCATCAGCTTCCAGTGAGACAGCCGGGGTGCCAGGCTATGGGGCGGTCTGTCCTCTTTCTGGGTGAAATGCATTTATGGTACGACAATGTTGCATGCCTTAGTTTCCCCGACTGACTTGTACGCTGGGGAAGAGTGGGTTAATGGTATTTGGAAACAGAGCAGGGATGATCATCCTGAAGTGTCACCACCATCAGGGAAGGGGTAGAAGACAAGGAACCACCTTGCATATTAGACCCACTGGATGCAGACCCAGGCACCTGGAGATGCCCGGCTGTTTCTGGTGCCTGAGAGGGACTTCAAAGCACCCCCAGTGCAAAGAGGCTGTCTCAAAAGACAACGGGGAGAAAGGCAAAGCCCAGTCATAGTGACCTGCCCCATACTGCAGACCCGGCTGGCCTGGGTATTAACACGCTACCTAAAACAGAGCATCCGGGGGTGCAAGAGTCAAGGATATGGGAGTAGGGCTGGTGCTGGATTTAGATGGCCCTTTTGGAGACTCAGGCTTGACACTTTGGCCTCTATGACCATGGGCACATCACCTAGCCTAGCTTCTCTGTTCAATGGAAGTGTGGGGTCTGAGTCCCTTGAATCCAGGCCTTGATCTCTCTTGGCTTCATTGCTGTGAAAGGGAATAATCAGGTGACCCCAGATCCATTGTCAGTCTCCTTGACCACTACGTGCAACCCCAAAATAAGGCACATGGTGAACCCTAATATTTGTGTATACCAGGTGTCAGCCCCTTGATGAAATGCTGCTAACTCATGCCAGCTACCCTGTGCCCTCCCCACTGAAAAACAGGAAGAAGTAGGGGAGAAGGGAAAGGAAAACGCTAAACAAAACCAGCAAAATCCTGCCCCTAGCAGGGCTTCCTATGTGCCAAAAAGGAAGAATAAGATACTGTCAGTGGGGGCAGATGACAGGGCAAGGAGCAATGGGCTCAAGCTGCAGCAAGGGAAGTTGAGGCTGGATATTAGGAAAAAAATTCTCAGTGGGAGAGTACTGAGCAAGCCCAGAAACGTTGTGAACTCTCCGTCCTTGAAGGTGTTTAAGCCCCGGGTAGACAAAGCCTTGTCTGGGATGATGTAGTTGGGGCTGGTCCTGCTTGGAGCAGGGGTTTGGACTGGATGTGACCCCTGAGGTCTCTTCCAACCCTCATTGCCTGTGATGCTAACATGCAGGGCACACTTCTGCTCCATCCATGTCCTAGTTCTGTGCTTCTGTCTCTCCTCCCATCCTGTTTCTGCAGCATCCGGCACAACAGTGCGATGGCCTTGGCTGGGGCAGAGGCAAGAAAGCAGCAATGAATCTCCTGTTTGTCTGATGAGCTTAGCCGAACAGCTCTGCTGAGGAGCGGAGGGTCACATCTGCCACCAGGCTGCTCTGAAGGCCAGAACCACACTTGAACTAAGGCCTCATTTACATGCATCAATTTTTTGGCTAAAAAAAAGAGGTCACCAGCCTCCCCTTTCTAGCCCGACTCCTTTTGCCCTTTGCCTGGCATTGATGTGGTTGCCGAAATTGAAGGCGTGATGGATGAGAGAGCTGAAAGCAAGCCCAGGGAGTGATGGGTTTGCCTATTTATAGCCAGCCTTTCAGAGCCTGCCACTTAAATCCACATTCCTGATACGTGAATAGTCTCTGGCAAGGCATAAAAATAGCTCTGTGGCTCTGACCATAATTGCACAGCCACGGCTCGGTGACCTGGTCGGCATCGGACAGAGCTGCAATGGGGCCTGATGGCACAGGACGAAAGCAGAGCGAGGAGGACAGCTGCAGAGCACGGCGTAAACTATAGGGTATGAAACAGCCTCTGGGCTAAATATAATGCGGCAGGGAATGGATTCAGGAATTTGGCATGGTGACGCTGGGTTTTTGTGGATACGTCTCCATGCCTCTTGCAGAGAGACAAGCCAGCATCCTTCTCTTGAAAGATGTGGAAGCTGCTTCACCTCTGCTTGGCCAGAGATAATGGCTAATGGAAGCAGAGAACAGCATCCTCCCAAACTCCTGAATGCCAATGGTGAAGTGAGTCCGATGCCCTGTTCATGGGTGGATCTAGGATTGTGAAAAGGGGGGTGCAGATGGTGACTTCCAGCCTCACATATAAAACAACGCCTATTTTCTCCAGTTAAAAATAAACCAGAAGCTTTACTAATGTGCGAGGGGCCTGGAGCTGGATTATTCAGTGTCAGATTGAAGCAAAAACCAATAGGATTTCATGGCAATGAGTTTAAAAGCTATCTGCCGGGCTGTGAAGTAAGAGGTCCATGACCAGGAGCAGCAAACAGACAGCTGGATTGCAGAATGGTGGCTGGCTCGATTTGTGGAACATTAAGGTCATTAAAAACGAGAGGGTCGTTAACACCTGGGGAATGAAGGGTTGAGGTATGAGGTAGATTACAATGAGACATGAAATCAAGTGACTCTCTCAGCACCGCCTGACTAGAAATGCTGCTGCCACTGCCATGCAGCTGGTTTTAAACTTGGTGGGGAGCAGAAATCGAAGGCAGGTTCAAGTGCACCAATGCACCAGCCCTGACTCCCTCGCTGGTCCTGTGTCTGCCAGCACACTTAGCGGCCTCCCTTTACCACTGATGCAGGCTTGTAAATCTGGGTAGTCCCATCACAGCTCAACATGGGAGGTTTCCAAGCAAGAATCCTGTGGTCAGCAGAAGTGGGAAAATCTACCAGAAATCCCAACTCCCCGTGGTAAGAAATTTGAATCAGTGGGTCACAGAAGCGGTGCAAATCTGGGAGCAGAAATCTGCTCTCCTGATAGCTGATAGGGTCCAACTTATGAAACCACCTTTGCTTTCCAATGGCATGACTTCAGTCTCGCCCGGGTTGCTGGGGTCTCAGAATAAATCTACGAGGAGATGAGGTCCCACAATAATGGAAACCAGGTAGGACCTGAGAGAAGGGGCTGAAAAGGCTCTTTCATTCAGAGAGCACGAGCCTTCCCGACGGTGGACGGATGGAGTTAGGAAGGCTTTCTCATCCTCAGGCAGCTGCAGGAGGAGGACGGCTCTCCGAGCCACGTGTTAGTATAATATCTCGTCACGTCTCATCCATCATGGTTAACGCCGCAGGAGCCCATTTCGACTGATTCCTGAATGTAACCGAGGGGAGAGCTGAACGGGGCTTGGTCTTCCTTCAAACCGCAGCATCCTCAAATGGCACAGTGCAACATTGGAGATGTCAGATCATTAGACCACATGGTTTATATTAATCATTTGATTATCCAGAAAATATTACCGGCCCCGTTGCCTGCCTCCCGAGTGTGATTTAACACAGACCTTTGCAAATCCCTGCTTTGAGGATTTTTCTTTTTCGTTCTCCCTCTTCCTTCCACAAAGCGTTTCAGAGGGAAAGGAAGCAAATGTTTTACTTTCTTTGATATAGTGCCCGAGATTTTTATTATTAATGCTGTGATGCACGGTAATCGGCTTAGGCCCTGGATGAAGCCGGCATGCTATCACGCCAGGTGCTGTCCGTACAGTTAGTAAGAGAAATTCCCAAGCCAGGTTAAACACATAAGGCACAGGGAATATCACTGTCCCTGACGTACAGAAGGAGGATTGAGGCAACAAGAGACATGAAGCTAGACTCCCAAAAGATCTTTGCATGCCACAGGGGGGACCATGTCCTCAAGAGCACTCACTGCTTCAAAATCTTGACCTACATGAAATGCAAAGGCTTGTTTGGAGCACTGAAAATCTCAGCCCAGGGTCATGCAACAGATCCCCAAACCAAATTGCAATCCCCTGCAGCCTTCTCGAGTGCCTGAACCATCTCATCCTAGATGGTCCCTTCATTTTGACTGTAAACCTTCCTTTGGAGCCAATGCTAGACCCAAAGTTGACCACAGCACGGTCCTAAATGAAACCATGGGACATAGCAGAGATAGGGCTGGAGGGATGAGCATCACTGCTGTTGAAGGTAGGGAGAACAAGGCAACCTGGAGATGCTGAGAAGAGAGAGAGTTATTGGGGGTCTGGGGAGTGAGTTGAGTGAGAAAGAAAAGGAGAAAGAGAGGAGGATGCTAAAAATAATTATAGACGTGCCAGATCACAAGGCAAGACTGGAGTCCTAGCATCGGCAGGGGCATCTGGTCCAACCTCCTGCATGGATGCAAGGTGATGCTCATCAGTCCTCCCTACCCAGTGCCGATCCAGGCTCCTCTTGGAAACCTCCAGCAAAGGAGACTCCAGCCTTTCCTGGGGAGGTTTCCCTCCACCTTTGAGATACGAGAGACTGGGCTGTCTAACCCGGTGTGGCAATTTTACGTTCCTCTGAGGTCAAACTAGATGCCACCCTTTGGGTAGCAGTCAATGGAGAGAGTCCAACGTGGCACTAGGAGTGGTCAGTCTGGATGGGAAAGCACATGGTACAGGGGATAAAGCACCAGACTGGCACTCAGTGGGCTGTGGGGGTATGCCTTTTGTGACTCTGGGCAAAGCACCACCGTTCCTGATAGACCCACTACCTCGACTTACCCCTGCCTGACCGTGCTTGGGTTTCGGTGCCTTCAGCCTCCTGTGACTCTACCCGGAAAGCCAAATCAGGATACAAGTGTCCTCAGCTGGGAATCCAAAGCAGACAGGATTCTCCACCCAGGACTATTCCTGAGCGCATGACATCCCACCTCTCTGCCTCAGTTTCCTCAGCCGTAAAGCAGCACGAATGGGTCTGCTCACCCACCCCATGGGAGCAAAATGTCCTATGTAAATCCTATGTTTTCATAAGATTTTAGGAGCCAGAGAGCTGAACAAGCCATTGGGGGGGTGTACACCAGTCACAACGAGGGTTAATGACGTCCTACATCTCCTTCCGACACGCACCAGAACCAGATCTCAGCAAAACAGCCCCGGGTGTAGGGGCGTGCCCCATATCCTCTCTGCATCCCTGGTGGGGCGGGGGCTTCTGGGCATATATTTGCATATCATCTCATTCAAGACCCAGCTCCTGCTACCTGCTGCCATAGCCTTGCATGGCATCTCATTCTCAATACACCTGAACCCCTGGAAGGACGTTGAATAAAAGGGTAAATTCAACTTTAAAAGAAAAAAAAAACCTCATCAACTAATCAGCCAGAATGAAATCAAATAAAAAATCAATTAGTTACTCCTATCTGTAAAGATCTTGGCCCCCGTCAGGTTGTTCTGATGGTGGGGGAGAAATGCAAACTTTGTGGTTCCCACCTCCTGCTTTCCTCGACCTCCCTGCGGCCGGTGCTGGAGAATACGTTAGGTATTTGCCTCGCCTTTTGCTCGGATTGCCACTTGCAGCTGGGCACGCCGCCTCAGGGACAGCAGCCTGTTATCAAGGCCTGTATTTTGTGGGAGGGGAAGCCTGTACTTAGCCTCGGCGCGGAGGGGCCTGTTCTGTTCAGCATCCAATTTGGGGCCCCCGTGCTCTGCCTTTGGCTTCCCTGGCTCTAGGTGACATCTGGATGTGACTTTTCTTTCTTCACGCCCCCTCTGCCACTCCCAGCTCTGTGTCAAAGCCGTTGCAAGGATGGGTCCTGCTTCAGTCTCCCACCCACCAAGCAAACCACAACGTTGGCCCTGCCCATTGCAATGCATGGCAGCCTCCTTCACGGGAGATGCCTGCTGTTCCCTCCTGCTGTGCCCAACCCAAGAAGCAGCCATCAAAGCCTCTTGGTTGGTCTGGTTTGCATCACACTCTGCAAATGTACGGTTCGCGTGGATGCCGCTGGCGAGAGGCGGCATCAGCCCCGTTGGCTCTCGATGCCAGGAATGAACGTGGGGATGTGCACGCCTACCATGGGCCAGACGGCTTCACCCCGGGATGCTTGCATCAGACCAAAGGGTTGCGAGTGCGGAGGGCGTGTGGTTCGCTTTGTAAGCTTAGTCCCCGCCGCGTGGTGCCAAAGGACTGGGAGTTCATCGCCACTGTGTCTCCACTGCGATCTTGCTCAGTTTATTACCAATGCAGGGGGAGGGAGGTTGTTTCAGAAGAACAGAAGACCTGCCGTGTCCTGGCTCAGACCCTGTCTCCTGTGTCACAGGGGCAGGGAGCAGATGCTGGAAGGGAGAATGGCCCGGCTCCTCTTCATCCTCTCTCACTTGCAACCTCCAAAATTTAAGTCTAGGAAGCTCTGATTCAGCAGCTGCATCCCTCGCTCCCCTGCTCAACAGGGACTGATGCCCCTTTCCTCCAAACCCTTTTTGAATCGGCGTCTGGTGGTAACGAGCCCCACGCTTTAATTAGACGTGGGCGTGAAAAAGAGCGGCCTCTTGTTGGTTTTAAACCTACTGCCTGCTAGCTTCGTTTTGTGCCCCCTCGTCCTTGTATTGGGAGGGAGCATCAAGAATAAATACCTAGTGACTTTCTTTTCACCATTTAGTATGGTGTAAACCTTGTTGGGGCTGGTCCTGCTTGGAGCAGGGGTTGGACCTCCTGAGGTCCTTTCCCACCCTCATTTTCTATGATTATGATGTCCCCCTTCAAGCATGTCTTGTCTAAACTGAACCAGCCCGGCCTCTTCAGCCTCTCCTCACATGGGAGCTCCTCCATATCCCTTCAATCATCTCCTTGGCTTTGGTTTGCCCCCCACGAGGATCCCATTTCAGAAGGTCGACCAGGGTAAACCTCACGGCCCCGTGCAATATGATTCCCTTTGTCTTTGCTGCATCCTATTGTATTTTCCAGGCTGTGCACAGGGAAGGATCCCTTGACATCTCTCTGCCTTGTTCTCCTCTCTTGCCAAGCAGCAGAGAAAGCTCACAGGAAAAGTGTCAACTCTTTGGATCCTAAAGTGAGATGCCGGCAGCATTTAACCTGCGGATGTGGGTCAACGGTGTATGCTTGTGAGCACCTGCTACAAGCAGGGAAATAGCTGAGTGCACTGAGAAACCGAGTCAGACATAGCAGTATTTTTCAAGGATGTTCCCATAGGGCGTGAAACCACTTTCTGCTCTTGGCAATAATATAATCAGTCCACAAAAGGAGGTGTTTCTCCACTTCCAAGGGGCCAGCTGTATGCAGGCTTGAGCCAGCTGCGGCTTCTCAGGGCTCAGATCAGCTCAGTCCCGATATCAGGATATGATGCCAAACACAGCAAACACCATGCATTTTGCTAGCAGAGGGAGGTGGGCTTTCTATGCAGAATGACTTTGGTCTGCTCCATCCCTGGTACTTTATATTCAAGCAAGGATTCAGTCAGGACAATATATTGGGCTACACTCTCCTGAATGCAAACCTATCTTGCATTCGAGGTGCCTTGCCCCATCCTGGTTTCTAATGGCCACTGCACTGATAGGGATAGTGGAAGCACGGGAAACATCACTGCTGTGCTCCTGAGCCAGGAGGGGCATCGAGCTGCTGACTTGGCTTCAGGCAGGTGATAAAGATGATCAAGGGCATAGACAACAGCTTTGAGACGGCAGTCAGAGATTTCTTCCACTGCAGATCTTGCTTTGGTCCATTGAGGGAAGTTTCTCCATCCCTTTTTGCTCCCGTTGTGCTTCTACTCGTGCCATGTTAGTCTAGTAAAATTGCACGGTGGGCTACGTCTTGGAGGGTCCCAGCCCAGGGGATGCCACTCCCAGCAGACATACCCTCCCAGAGCATCGGACACATCAAAGCATCACCCAGCCCCAGCAAACTGGGCTCTGAATCCTCCTACGACCTCTATGCCATGGACCCAGTGGGTCTCATCCTCATCTCATGCGTCTGTCTGGAGTTTATCCTTCAGCACACAGGGCTTGATAGTGGAAGACCCTGGATTCAAAGCTCGTGGATAGATGAACCGTTGTCCCCGGAAGAGGGATGACTGAATTGCGGTAATCTCCAGCTTTTGGGAGGAGGCTCCCCAGGCAGGTTTGGTTTTACAGGACTGGATTCTCTCCTGCCCATGGCAGGGGTCGGACTTGATGATCTACTTAGGCCCCTTCCAACCCTACATCTATGAATGACCATTAAGGGATCTTCCAATCTCATCTTTGCAGGATCCATCCAGCATTTTAAATGGGGAGAACCAGGAAAGCTGCAGGATCCAGAGCTTCCTGCACACTTCAAAGGCGGTCTGGAGCCAGCTACATGGGTTAGACGCCCGTTGCAATTTGGCTTCAGCATTGGGGCATTCTGGTTCAGAGCTGGGGGAAGACTTAAGGTGCTTTGGGACCGTCTCAGCTGTGCAAGACCGGTCTCTGCAGCTGACTCAGAGGCCCCAATCTGCCCCTCTGCTTTCCTCTTCCCCCGGCCCAGCCCTCTGCAGCAAATCCTTCATTGCTGCAAACAGGCGGTCCTGAGCCAGGCAGGAGGATGCCAGGGCTGTGGCGTCAGCAGCCGGGAAGGGCCAAGCCGGTGGGGACGTGGGGGGAAGCCGACGTGGTCCGGCAATAGGACTCGACACCCCATCTGAAAGTAGGGCAAGCGGCAGGATGGGGCAGGAAGTCTCACGGGGTGCAGCCAGCCGGCCGCGAGGTGCCATGAGAGCGGCCTTTCCTGGCACCTCGCTCTGTGCTCCCAGCCAGAAGCCGAGACGTATGAAAAACATCAGGACGGGAAACGAACGCCCTTGAACCTCCACCGATGCAAGGCTGCAAATGGGATCCGGCTTGGATCTGAGTCTCCGATCCCTCCGGATGGTCTCTGGCCCCCATCTCTGGTCTGTCCCAGGCATGGACGTGGATGAAGGACATGCGGACGCCGGATACCGGCTCCTCCCTGAGCAGCCAGCACGGCCCTTTTCATTTAGGAAGGTGGTTTGTGCAGAGAGCCAGCTCCCGACCGCAGGTTTTGAGCAGCTGGGAGCCTTTTTCTTTCCTCTCTGCTTAACATCCCTCCAGGAGCTCAGCTCATCAGGGCCAAGTCCATTGACGAGGCTCCCGCGACCCAAACCGCAACGTGTCACCGTGCCCCAGCACGGCGTGTTTCAAACAAAAAACACGTGCCCCGGTGAACCCTTTCCCATGAAATATGGTTGGAAGGGGGCTGGAGGTGGGGGGAGAGTCTAGGCTCGTGGTCTGTGGTCGTGAGGGGGTCTGATCAACCTGATCCCCAAACTTGCTCATCTCATGCTTGAAAACATCAGGGCTTTGCCTCCGCTTCGTGACTCTGAGCTCTGCAACCCCTGTTGCATCAAACTTCTTATGATGCCGTTGTGAAAGGGTTAGGCTTTTCCACCGATGACCCTCCAGGGACCCAACCCACGATCCGGCATCTTTCTCTTTCTCATGAGCTTCAGCAGGTTATTTCTGGCGTGCACAGGATGTTGCAAGCAAGAAAAGAGCTACAGCTCCTCTTGTGCAAGCCGTCTGTGCATTGGTGCTCCTATCGAGCAAATTGCTTGTCTGAAGCAGAGGTTTCTGGTCCCTGTAGGCCCTAATGTGTCTGGACAGTTTAGCAAGGAACTCTTTTCTCCCCAATTTCTTGCCAGGACATAAAAGATTTCCCCCTGCACCTCCCACAGCAAGCAATGCAGTCACCTGCACTTTGCAAATGCAGACCTGAGACCCCACCAGATGCAGTGACTTGCCCCCGGTCACACTGAAAATCGGTGATAGAGCTGAGAATATAGTGCAAGACCCCTGGACCCTGTGTTCACCCCCTGCTCCCTTTTTTAATGTATTCTGTGCTATTCAGGGTCCTAAATGAGTGGCACCATCCAGCCACCATGGCTCCATCCTCACCACGGCCAATGCATATGAGCTGCGATGCTGTTCTCTTCCTGAGATAGGGACCGTAGGAGAATAACCAGCACGTAAGACCACAGGACAGATTTTGGGAGGGGGGAAAAAAAAAATAGGTGCTTGAAATGAAGAACTGCCAGGTGCCTTAGTCATCCTACAATAAAGGTTGGGTGGGGAGGGCATGCTCATCTCACATAGGTGTAAAACAGGAGTTTTCAGCAGTAGAAACCCATTGCAACAGAGGGGAGGAGGGCGGCAGCGAGGTGCGGAGCACACTGGGGATTGTCCCAGGAGCGCGTCAACGGGCTTCAGTGCTTTAGGCACCCAAAAAATCTTCCTCCGGCTGCAGAAGCAGCTGTGCAGAAAGCAGTTAGTCTCACCTCCAGTGGAATAAACCAATTTGTTCATGCTCCAAGCGTATGCTTTTCCCTCAGGTCCTTCTGTGGTTTTGGCTTTGCCTTGTTGACTGCCCTGGATTACAGAAGCTGGCAAGACCCGCTCGCACAGACACACCACTGAAACCCTACCAGCTCTCGACGGCTGGAGCAGCCTTCGGATGACAGAAAAGTGCCTGTGAATTTATTGGCTAATTAAGAGGCAAGCACGTTGGAACGAGCCCTGGGATGCAGCGGCGGAGACTCAAGTAGAGCAGGGTTCAATCGAGTAGGGCAGAATTGGTGCCCCAGGACAGCGCGGGGGGCATTGAGCTGAGAAACCCCTCAGCCTTCAGAGAGGAGATGAAACCAATGTCCTGTAAAAGATCTTATAACCCTTTTTTAAACTGTTTTTTGCAAGTGGAGAGCTGTGTTAACCTCAAAGTCCTGGCGAAACTCCCACGATGTAATCACCGCCTGCCTCTCAAACTGCCCGAGTTGTGCAAAGCTTTTGCATCTGCTGATTTGTATTTTGTAATGTCGGCAGTAACCTCACTCTCCAGTAGCTTTAATTCAGACTTTTCAATTTTGGAGTGAGATTTATTGATTTTTTAAGGGAAATAAAAATTGTCTTTAGGGGCACAGAGTTGGACTGAAAAAAAACAACCAAACACTTCAGTTTTGTCGCTTTCCATCCAAAAGGCAAACGGGGTCTGCAGAAAAACAAGTTGAAAAGTTTTCAGATGGTTTATATCTTGAAGTACCGGGCTACAGGCTTTGCAAGGAACGCTTTGGATTTTAGGCTAGCATTGCTCTTCGCTGCTTAAAGGCTTTGGAGAGCATGCAAAGTGCCCTTTTCCACCTCGCACGTGGATTTAAGCCGGCCAGGGATGAACTCCCTAGGAATTGGCACATTCAGCCACTCGTGCACCCTGATTAGCAGCGCAACATGTGCACGCATCAATCCCGGGATAGTTCTGTTCTGGGACAAACACAGACACAGGACTTGAAGCTTAGGATGTGTTTAAAATGAAGACATGGTTTCCAGACTATCTCTAAAATAAGAAGCTGGTAGCCTAGCAAGCGCTTCTATTGCAACGGCACCTACCTTATGTAAGCCCCATTACCAAAGCATTTGAGCGCCTGACGACATCCCTCTGTAATCAGAGATTATTCCCATTTTACAGGTGGTAAACCGAGGCACAGATAACATAAGTGGCTTGATGGAGGATGTGGCAAAGCAGGGAATGCAACCCAGGCTTCTCAGATGCTAGAGTAGGGGACTGCCTTTCCACCCTCCTCTGTGTTTTGGCACATTTGCTGTTATACCAATTGCAGCAACACCTGGTAAGAGCAGCAAGGGTTGAGAAGCAACATCCCCCTTGGGAGCAATCTCCATCCCCTGTTTGCAGGCAACAGCCCCAGCACAGCTGCACCCTCGTAGGTACAACGTAGCCCCAGGACCCCGACCCGTTTCCACCCAGAGGTATGGACTGTATCGGTGTCGTCCCCTCTGTTTTGTGGTACGTGGTGCAGCTAATGAAGGATTCACAGCAGCTTCAACTGAACTGGAGCCAGCTTCCCCTTCCCATGCAGTATAAGTGTCCATCCAATGAAAGTATGGCAGCACGAGTTGTATTAAAGAAAAATAAAATCCTAAACAAAAGCTACCCTCTCCACCCCTTCTCCTTGTAGGATGATGCTAGTCACTCCAGATGTTAATCCCACGGTTTGATATATTTATTGCTGGAAGGGGCTCAGCATTAGAGGTGATAGGATTTGCAGAGATGGAGGGTAGGAAACGTTGCATTTATCCCTGGACAAATTGTGCCTGTGTTTGTGCCAGACAGAAATCTCTCAGGATCGATGTGTACACATGTCGCCGTTCTAATCGGGGTTTGGGAGCGGCTGAACGTGCTGCCACTTTTCTAGCATTGATCCAAAGCTGCAATCCCAAGATGATCATCCAGATGCACTTTGCAGTTGGTAGTGCTGATTCTGTGAGCCTTTTTCAGGGTTTGTCCCGGGACAACCGATATGGATGTCTGAGGGTCAAAACAAATGAATCAGAATCAAAACCTGGGAGCTGCATAGCTCTTTCCTCATGCAGTTTGAATAGCAATGAACTTAAATCAGCTGTGACTGTCCCAGGAAAAAGTGCTTTAGGCTTTGCAGGTACATCTATGCATCAATCCTGGCATGTTTCTGTTCCAGGACAAACACCGGCACAATTTGACACATGCAACGTCTCCTGCCCTCCATCTCGACAAATCCTATCACCTCTATAGCCGAGCCCCTTCCAGCAATGTATCAAGCTGTGCGATTAACATCTGGAGTGACGGGCATCAGCCTAGAAGGGCAATTTGCAGGTACACAAAGTGGGACAAGGGCTGTAGGATCCCAGAATAAAAGGCTTTGTCCTGGGAGAAACGCCACATCTGTTTCTAACCTGCACGACTGCATGTTGTCCTGGGATAAAACGGATTATCCTGGGACAAATGCAACATCTGTTTGTAGCCAGACTGAACTAAAAGGTGTTTGCTTGCCATACAGCCAGGGTTATACATGGATCTCTAGACCACGGGTGGCTGCTGGTGAACAAGAGAGACAAGGTGTGAGCTCAAGCATGGAGGAGCCAGGTGGTTTGAAGTCAGAGCTCGTGTATAAAGCCCGGGCCGGAGGACCGATCCTCTGCAGGTGTGAGAAATGGTCACAACTCTTGGAAAGTTGTAAGGTTTATACCGCTAGGACTCACCCCGTCCTGCTTGAGGACTAACACGCAGCGCGCAGACTGCTGTGGCTCTGGCGTGAGAGCATCGGGGTCCTGTTCTGGCAGACTTGATGTGTAATGTGCTCGGTAGCCGCGCCGGCTGCCCGCAGCAGAGAAGCTCTCTAGGCGTTGTTGGTTCAGACGGTCTTCTGTTTCTGATTTTTTAATTTTTTTCCCTTTCCTGGCTGTAGGGA